TGCAGTACTGCTGGGGATTGAACCCAGGTCATTGTGCTTGCCAGGCAAGTGCTTACACTGCCGAGTTATCTCCTGGGCCCAAATGACTGAATCTAGGTTTATATATTTATTCAATCTTTTAAGACATATATTTAATCGATACAGGATAATTGTACATAGTTATGGATACAGTATACTTGTATACAATTTGTAATGATATCAGGATAAGTGGCATGTCTGTCACCTCACTCACTTATCATTGCTCTTTTTATTGTGAACTTTCTAGATTCTTTCGGCTAGCATTATGCCATAGTTTAAGGAGTCCATTTATTATAGCTATACATACTTTTCTGAAATAGCTTTTCTATGTTTAATAGTTTACTTATTTTGTTATATGTTTGGATCTGTTTATTTAGTGGTGGTGGGGACTGAACCTGGGGCCTTGTCCATGCTAGGCAAGTGCTCTGCCACTGAGCTGCTGGCCAGCCTGATTTTAATTTTATGAATTTACAAGCATTAGAATGGCTTTGGGGCATAAATACATAAAGTAAAGTTCGTACAAAGCTTATAAGCTATAGAATACATTTTTTTTTTTCTTTTGTATTTTAGGACAGGATCTACAGGGTCTCACTACGTAGATCGGACTCATAGTGATCCACCTGTGTTCAACCTCCCAAGACCCGGAATTACAGGCACACGCCACCATGCCCAGTCTCAATCGCAGTCTCAGTGTGCCCTTGGGGTGGGGCCGGCACGGCACCAGGGATCGAACCCTGGCCACTGCATCTGCCTAAGCAGGCACTTTAATCCGCTGAGCTGTTTGGCCGGCCCCAGAAAACATTTTAAGTGGTCTGGGTTTTAAAAAGTGGAGAAATATAGATGAAAGTTGAAAAGTGCCATTGGTCCTTTGACTTAAAAGACAATTGCATTTTGAAGCTACAGGAGAATTTCATCAGCTTTAGCCAGTGGATTACTACTTTTAAATTTTACAAACAAATTTATTTGGCTATTTTCAGATTTCATGTAGAGACTTCAACTTTCTCTTTACAGTGTCAGGATAGTGAATGAATATTTTCAGCCCAGCTCAGAAGGGCATAATCCTTTGTCTTCAGAGCACAACACACTTAGACCTTTCGGGGGTATACGTAGGCCTCTTCTGTATCATGCAGTTAGACTCTGAGCACAGGATGTCTTTGTTAGAGCCCATGTATTGAGCTTGTGTTCCACGGTTGGCTTTGGGTGTGTTTTTATTTATTTTTATTTTTATTTTTTTCAAAGTTTTATTGATAAACAGATAGCAATGAGACAGTTTCAAATCAAATCGGAAGTACAGTTTCAACAAATAATACACCGCATATATTCTTC